TTCTTCTTAGCACCTCGTTGTTGGTCACGTGCTCTGATCCAAGAGATCTTCAGCATCCTTCGAAAAACGCACATTTCAAAGGCTTCCATACGCCTCATACTTGTAATTCGAGAGTCCATGTTCCAAATATTTGGAACATGGATGGATCTATCATTGGGAATCTATCATTTCTTTGGCCCAAACCAAAGGTATATAAATAACCCAAACCAGGTTATATAAATAACAGTAATGCCTGTTATATTGACATGGTAACACATTTTTTCATTTCATTGCCTTCACTTCTGAATCTTCTGCGTTCGAAAACATCATCCACCTTTGAAATTCGACGTATCTCCTCGTTCATACCCTATCACTCAATACACCAATTTTATTTTTATTTAGGTTCTTTTTAACTGTCTGGCTATTTTTTTTTTAATAAAACTGCCTACACACGCCCCATGACAGACAACGTTGGGCCCGACGTTTGGTGGTGTATAGGCTTCTTGGCCGATAAAAATAGTTTAACGCGGACTGTCGGGTGTACCAATTTAATTATACAACCGCGACATGGGAACTGGGACATGACAACTATTTTTGTCGGTCAACTAATCTACACAGACACACCAACCGTTGAGCCCAATGTTGTCGATCACGACAATTGGCAGAATGTACTTTTGATTTTTAAATCAGGAGCCAAAACAGAAGATTATGAAGCTATAAATCTAGAAAATTACGAGAAATAGATAAAAGAACAGTTAATCCCAATTTGCTTGTAGGATCTGTCATTGTTACTGATAATGCATTATTATAGGACGTAAATCTGTCACAGCTGGACATAGGTAATATCTTCTTTAAGTGTCATCTCCCAATCGGAGGTTGGATACCATCATCACTATTTTTACTTTATCTACTGCTGTTCTAAAGAGTTCTATAGAACTGCATTTAAACCTGTCCCTTAAATTCTTCAACCATGACACTCTTCTTCTTTCTATACCCCTTCTTCCTCTTATCGTTTCCTGTCTTATCAGCCTTAGCAGTTCATATTGCTGTCCCCTCATTACATGTCCCATATATTGTAACTTTTTTATTTTTATTGTGTTTATTATTTCGCATTGTTTGCCCATTTCTCGCAATACATTCCGTGTTAGTTTTACCGTAACTTATTTATGTGTTCTTGCTTTAATGTCCAGCTTTCAAGTCCCTATTGCAGTATCGAAAACACGTAGCATCTCAATGCTCTTACTCTCAGTTCTAATCTAAGATCTTTGTTGCAGACAATTGTTTCATTTTTACAAACGCATTTCTTGCTATTTCTATCCTAGCTCTTATTTTGTTGTTCATGGATGAAGAGGAGAGTAAGAGCAGAAAGGCTGAAACAAAGAAAATGAAGTGTGCATCCTATGTGGAAAAAAGACGAACCAAACAAGAATTTAAAATATACAGAGAATTTTTGGACGATGACAAAAAAATCTCACAAATATTATTGAACATCCAGTACTCTTTTTTTTCATTTTCTTTTTTCTATAATTCATATGAAAAACCAGAACAACACTAACTGCACTCTGTTTACCAGCACTCGCGTTTACAAAACTATAAAAATCGCATTTACAAAGTCCGTTGGGTATGTGTCATTTTCGTGCATCGCCAGTACCTAAAACAAAAAGACCGTTTGCGATTCATTTCAGGCCGGGCACGGACGGGCGCCGTCCGGAAAACGTCAACGTGTAAATACAATCATAAGACTACATTTTTTTTGCTGGGCACTGTCATAACATTGAACGGACACGGCACGGATATGTATTTATCGACCTTTAATTTTATATAAAAATATGCACATACGTCACCAGCAGCTTATTTCTTTTTAATAAATGAATAAAATTTTCGTTAAAAAATTAATTACTATTGATTAAATGTAAAATATTTTCTGCCACTTCTTGACTTGCAATCTGTTGGCCACGTGTTCTTCTAATTTTAAATGCTTGTAAAAATGTGAGTTTGAATAACTAAATTATGAACATAGTGATCCTGCAGTGATATATTCTACTATTAGTTTTAGTAAAGTAATAAGTTTTTAAAAGTTTCAAAAATACATAAAACAAGTTTTAGAAATGTTTTTATTTTTTGCAACTTTTAAACAAAACTATGAGCAAATTTTAGTTTGATATGTCTCAAATTAACTGATTTATACTCTATTAACAAAAAAAAAAAATAAATAAATAAACCGTTGTCGACAAATGTCTAAAATGTAACTTGTGTATTTTGAGTAATAATTTTTGTGCATTTTTATTAAAATCCTTGTTTAACAATGCTTCATTTCCAAAACTGCACTACATAAGCTCTCGTTTAGTTCATCTATACATCAATCAAAATATTTCATATGGTAATCCGTTACAAATTATAATAGTTTTATTGTGTTCGACATTAGTAGTGGATTTTATACACGTTTAAAAAAACTTGCCATAGAAAAACAGCTCTAGAATAATATTAAAATGTAATTGATTGCAAATATTGAGTTACACAAAATCTGTCAAGTTAAGTATCACCAAAGAGATTGTTGGACATTTTTATAGCATGATGTTATAACATAGAGTTTTTAAATGTATATATTGTATTAATAAGTTGAAACTTAATAAATGTATAATAAAATTGGTTTATAAATAATGTGTGTTTTATTAGAAATGCTACAAATTTTACTCTAGAATTGTCAAAAATAAATTTTCCTGGGACAAAAAGGTAATAAATGGCTAAATAAAATTAAAAGTAACTGACCGATTCGACCGTCTTGATGGAAATTTATTTTATCTACCAATACAATACTAAAAATTGTTATTTTGTTATAGGTAAAAGAAATAATAAATAAGACTTACTCACAATCAGTTTAATTTAACTATCTAGATGACCAGTTTTGCTTTCTACAATTTGCAAAGCATCTTCAGGTCTGTTCATACAAAGTTAATTAAATGCTGAAATAACAAAAACCCATATTAGGGTGATGTCTTATAAAGATAAATAAAAGATAAAATAATATAAATTACAGTAATTATGCAACATTACATGTCTGTGGTTTTTTTAAATAAATAAACTCTTTAAGCAGATAAAGCAAGACCCACAAATTGGTATAAAATAGTCTATTGAATTGTAATAAATTTAGTAAATAAACAAAACATCACTTACATGCCGGTACACGATTAATTAATCATTGGGAGAACATAGTTTAAACTATCCTGTAATTGCTTATGATAGGGATCTTCAGTTTTTATTATTGTAACTGTTTGACAATCCATGGGACAGTTTCTTGAGAAGATTTTATCCAATGAAGTAGAAAAAAGTTGTAATGTAATTGTTTGTTAAATGAAAGTGATGTTCTGTATTATTAAATTCTTTAAAAGTTATTTATATTTATTCAAGAGATAAATTTTCGAAATGTATGTTTATTTATTGAAATTTTTATTAAGATGATAGTTGTATGACAATGAATGAGAAAAAAAAAATTAAAACAAATTTCAAAAATATTTCAAAAATATTTAAAAATTAAAAAAAAAATTTAAAATTTTTTTAAAAATTTCAAAAAAATTGTATTGTTCTTGGTCATCACAACATCACAGATAATAAACTTAACTGATATATTCATTAACAACTAACCTACTTAAATAATAAGTTTCATCAATTAAGAAAGATAACACCCCCTTGCTTTTCTTAGATAAATCTCAGTATGATACTATAATAATACATGAAACAATATAACTATATTATCTACTATATAAATTTTCAATTAAGAAAAATCTAAAATAATAATATTACCCTAAAATGGGATTTAATTTTATTCTGTTGTACCAATGAACCTTCATCATCATCATCAACTAGCCTCTAACGTCCACTGCTGAACATAGACCTCTCGCATGCTTTTCCACTTAGTCCGATTTTGCGCCATCTGAATCCAATTTGTAGTCTTTTTTTTATGTCATCTGTCCATCTCGTTGGGGGTCGACCTCTATTTCTGTAAGCTTGTATTCGGGGTCTCCATTCCAAAATTCTTTTTGTCCACCGGTCTTAAACTAATCTTGCTACATGACCTGCCCAGTTCCACTTTAGTGTTGTT